TCTCGGATTATTAGGCTATTCAGTAAAACAACCCGCTTTTGAAAATATTAAGCCATTCCAGAGAAATTTAAATTATAGCCAGAAACAACCTTTCCGTACGACCTAATATTTTTTATTATATTGTACGGTACATAAAATTGATATGAGAAACCCTGTTCTTAATAGTACCATCTGACTATGAAAATAGACTGTAAATCTTATAGTATTTTAATTTGATTTTGTTATTAAATCAAAAATCAATACCAATTTGTGAGTTAGTTGTCATCACTCGTGGATTGTACTCAATTAGCAAACAAAACTTTAGGACTTTAAGTACTTATCACAAAGTTTTCAATTCTGAAATCATTTTATAGAAACAAGTTTTAAATACTTTGAAAACAGGGCTGGAATTGGACTCAAAAGCTAAATGAATGCCAATATAGAAATTGATTTTACTTATAATTCATAATCACAACTTTTATAGTAAGTTCACAAAATTAATTCATCTACTCATTTCAATTAATCCCTTAAGTAAATGAATATTCTAAATATTTTTCATTAATGAATGAACTTGCACATCCAATCATGCTATTTGTCGTAATATATGCCATATTTTATATTTTCGCCGCAAAGTAACTTACGGTAATAAAGTCCAGACGTGTTTAATTTGGTTGTATTCAATGTTTAGTCATTTACAAATGTGTTTATACTAAGCCCTGTCATTTGATAGCAAAAACACATTTATGTTGTAAAATAAAAAACTACAGTTTAAAGTTGGCCAGATATCGCATACATTATAATAGCAATTTATATGTTGAGAATTATTTTCTCATATTTATAATCATAAAATTTGCTTATTTATCACTTGTTATCATTTGTTATCACTTTGTTTATTATAATTAATTTATTGATTGTATAATATGCTTATTAATTATAATGTAAACCACAAACATATTTATTAAATATAACATTAATTTATAAATTTATTTTATTTAAATTTGTACTATTTATCGAAAATTATTTTTAATTATTTTGGCAATCATTATTTATTAATCTGTGTTAATGCTAAAATTACAGTTTGAAAGTATATTTCTAGGAATACTTCAACAATTTATAGTACATATGTTTTCTTAAAATTTATTAGATTTAATAGTTATTCAATTATTTAAGGTATATAATTTCATAATGGTATTAAATTATATATTACTAAATGTGTTGTTGTCAATTGAGTTTATTTAAAATTAGAAATAAAATAATTAAAAAAATAATTTATATTATAAATCTCAATAGTAATTAATTTTAATCTCAGAATAAACATATTTATAAATAATTTAAAATATTAATAATGGAGGAGGGTGCTAAAATATTGGGGAAGTCTCGGTGGGATAATACGAATATTTTTCAAAAAATATTTCTCACGTAAGTGTTAAATTGTCTTGGTCTTATTTTAGGTAAATAGATAATTGTATCTAATTTTAATTATGTGAATTAGTTTATGTTATTTAAATGTTAAAAATTTAATAATTTACAAAATGAAATTAATATACTGATAGTAATATTCACTAAATACACACTAATTAGTGAACATAATGATAGATCTATGGATGCAGTGATCACTCAAATGTTGCCTTGTTCAATATTTAAATGTTTTAAATGTTTTAAATTAAATGTTTTGTGTTGACTCGTGAGTTTGTCAAACACCTGTTTACAGTTATACACGCTGTTGGCATACCGGTGCTCAATAAAAGTTAAAACTACACAAAAATAATTCCTAATAAATATTATTAATTACATATAACATTTTCAACAAATATTTCAAATGGTTTAGAGTTTATTCAATTTTATTACTGAAGCCTATCAAGTAGATTAAATGGTGTAGATAATATAAAATTATTTTTATTATCAAATAAATAATTGAACAATGCAAGTGGTTGTCCACAAAGTAATTTACATTTTAAATAAAGTAGAGTATACGGTAGACAGAAAAAACACACAAACATGAAACAATAAAAGTTACATAGAGCATATATTTGTATATTACAAATTAATTTTGGTACCAAAATTATTCTTAGCATTATAAAAACTTTATAATTTCAAAACAAATTAGCTGATTAACTAAAATAAGATTTCCTAAATAATCATTATTTCAACCATTATGATCAAATAGATGGATGTTCCCGGTGTTTATGACGGGTTGGCGAAACAATGGTCTCACTGTAGACGACCTCTTCCAGTGCTCCCGACACGACGAGTCACAACGGATTGTCCAGGAGCTGGAAAAGTAGGTATGGGCTCATGGAGTCTAGTAAATCAGTCATTCATATGGAGCCGGGATGGGAGGGAGGGCTGATTAGAGGTATACTAAATTGTGACTCCATATCAGGCACTGGAATAATGAACGTCAAAAAAAGTCATCCAAATTCTGGAGGGCATTAGTTATGGCATTCGGGAAATACTATATACCGCCCCTCACTTTATTAATATTGGGGGTAAGCGTATAATTTCAGATAATTAAAACCACCTGGATGCTCAATAAACATGAATAATTTCATTAAATAAAATGTTAAAACCTTTTGTTGGTAGGAATGCATTTGTCGTATATGTCAGCCCCTGCTACTAGGCATAGTGATAGACCATTTTAACAAGGTCGAAAATCGTACCTTTAAGCAAGCATGCATGGCCGCCGGGGGAGTATGTTTTTGTACGGCCTTGTTCATATTGCTACACCATTCGGCCACCATTATAGTCATGCGAATGGGTATGAGATTACGCGCCGCTTCCTCTACTCTTATTTATAAGAAGGTATAAAATTTTATAAAATTGGTCAAGGGGCAATTTACATGCCTTTTGTAATTAGTCGCTTAAACTGAGCCGGGCATCTCTGGCCAAAACCACAGTGGGCCACATTGTGAACCTAATGTCTAATGATGTCAGTCGATTTGATGAGGTATGGGCTATATTTGTGAGGCTAGTAGTAAATGGATTTTATTAATAATTTGTTTTTTTAAATACAGTTTTCAATATATGTCTGCTATTTACTCGTATCGCCCATACAGACAGGGATCGCCGTATATATCATATATACGGAGATCAGTTACTATTGCTTCGTAGGTTTGGCCCTTTTATTGCTGTTAATACTGTTTCAGGCATTTATGGGCAAACTTTTCTCGAAAGTCAGGTTTGAGTGGAATTTGTGACACAACTGGCGGTCAATATGTTTGGTCTAATAATTAGTTGTTTTTGTGTTCAAATCATAGGCTAATGACCGCTCAGTTAACGGACAGTCGACTGCGGCTCATGAATGAGATTATATCGGGGATGCGAGTCATCAAAATGTACGCCTGGGAGCAGTCCTTTGCCAAACTGGTGGCCACCGCTAGAAAGTATGTCCGAATGTTATACTATAGTTATATTTAATAACCTTTTAAAACTTATATGCAAAAATTATACCGGTAATAGTTTTTAAAAATGCGATACACTTTGCAATAAAGTGGAAAGTTGGAAACTCAATGATAAATAACAATTATAAATGAATAACCAAGGATATTTACTATAAATAGGAATGAGGTCCGTGGCATACAAAGGGCCCATTTTCTAACTACTATCAATTATTCGGTATACTTGTCGGCCCCCCGTATAATACTGTTCGCGTGTTTTTCGGCATATGTGTTAACCGGGAACCTATTGACCGCAAAAGCGGTGTTCATTACAATGGCTCTGTTCAACACTCTTAGGACTACTTCGATGACACGGTTTCCCTACGCCATCGCCCAATGGGCTGAACTGACGGTGTCGTGCTCTCGCATCCAGGTATTCATTCATAAGCAATAAAACTGCTCAAATTAATAGAGATTTTAAGTTTTGTACTTAAAATACTTGAATAGAAACTACATAGAATACTTGTATATATTATATTGGCGCTAAAGTACTCGCCACGACCTTTATTTGAAAACTCTGCTAGCTAAAACAAAACAAAAAATATAAATTTTTACAATTCTTATTGACTTCAAGGCACAGAAGTTATAAGTTTGTAGCAGCACCGGTATGTTACTAGCACCGGCTGATACTCTGGAGCTAAAACTATATGAGATACAGAGATGATCAGGGTACCATTCGAAAGAGCATCAAAATCAAAGGATACATGCCCTTGATAGATTTTCCCTAAAATGTTTAGTTTTAGCACTGGGAGGCCCGATACCTCAGTAAAACCAAATTTCAATTAATTTTTAAAATTAAACCAAATGAGCTAGAACAATGTTATGATATGCAAAATGTAGATAATTCAAAT